GAAACAACTATAAAATAAAAATAAAGTCTACAAGTCGACCCCCAAGTTAAAACAAGAGTAATATCCTTTGTATGTACAGTACAGTTTCACCCAAAAGTTCGTTAACTCTCCCAGCCCGTATTGATGCACTGCCTGCTTCAGATGTTTGAAACTGTCTCGGTACCAACCAGAACATGAAACCGATACGAATGAATCTAAAGGTTCGAAGTAACAGACTCAAGTTCTTACATCTGAAGCAGACAGTGCAGCAATAGCGGGCTGGGAGAGTTAACGAACTTTTGGGTGAGAGACTGTACACATAAAAACATCGTAAGGATGGTTCGGTGTCAGTATGTTAGTTAGGTTCATTCGCTGTCAGTATATTCGTTAGGTTGGTTCGCTGTCAGCATGTTTAGTTAGGTTGGTTCGCTATCAGTATGTTTAGTTAGGTTGGTTCGCTGTCAGTATATTCGTTAGGGTGGTTCGCTGTCAGTATGTTTAGTTAGGTTGGTTCGCTGTCACGGTTTAGTTAAGTCGGTTCGCTGTCAGTATATTCGCTAGGTTGGTTCGCCGCCAATCCGAATTAACAGTACACAAAACAGTACGTCACGCTGCATCTTTTGCCATTTTTTTACAGGGATTAGCTCACCCGGGCACAGGTCACTGACCCACATCAGTGCCTGGGGGGCGAAAATGTAATAATAATAATAATAATAATAATAATAATAATAATAAACGTTTTAATACAAAAATTAATTTAAATAATAATAATAACCATAAATACAAAAATGAAAAAATATATCAAAAGTGAGAAACAATATACAGTATTCATGTTGTGTTGTTAATAGTAAGAGAAACAATTGAGACCCTGCAATTGTGTGTAAATGAAGCATAGTAAGATCAGCAACCTGAGATTTGGTCAAAATTTTCGTGATGCCATATGGCAGCAGGGTCTATCATTAGACAACACATTATGCTTCCAATATCCTTCAGGTGGTAGTACCTCCCTGTTTGGTACACCCAGGAGTTACTGGCATGATAAAATGTTACTTCCCTTCATATATATTGTACCGTTACTGTCCACAGGCGTTAATCCCTCTATAACTGAACACGGTACAACCTAACCTAACGAAAATAAAAGACGATTATCAATATGGTACTAGAAGACAGGGTGCGTATTGCATGTATAGTCACCATTTATATATCTCATAGTCCATTAGGATTCAGTAATAGTGTGAACCAGATACACATTAAAGAACCAGATACACATTCAAGAACCAGATACACATTAAAGAACCAGATACACATTAAAGAACCAGATACACATTAAAGAACCAGATACACATTAAAGAACCAGATACACATTAAAGAACCAGATACACATTAAAGAACCAGATACACATTAAAGAACCAGATACACATTCAAGAACCAGATACACATTCACGAACCAGATACACATTAAGGAACCAGATACACATTAAAAAGAACCAGATACACATTAAAGAACCGAATGCACATTAAGGAACCAGATACACACATTAAAGAACCAGATACACATTCAGAACCAAGATACACATTAAGAACCAGATACACATTAAAGACCAGATACACATTAAAGACCAGATACACATTAAGGAACCAAAAAGATACACATTAAAGAACCAGATACATTCAGAACCAGATACACATTCAAGAACCAGATACACATTAAAGAACCAGATACACATTAAAGAACCAGATACACATTAAAGAACCAGATACACATTAAAAGAACCAGATACACATTAAAGAACCAGTACACATTAAGAGAGACCAGATACATTAGGAACCAGATACACATTCAAGAACCAGATACACATTCACGAACCAGATACACATTAAGGAACCAGATACACATTAAGGAACCAGATACACATTAAGGAACCAGATACACATTAAAGAACCAGATACACATTCAAGAACCAGATACACATTAAGGAACCAGATACACATTAAAGAACCAGATACACATTAAGGAACCAGATACACATTAAAGAACCAGATACACATTAAAGAACCAGATACACATTAAGGAACCAGATACACATTAAAGAACCAGATACACATTAAAGAACCAGATACACATTAAAGAACCAGATACACATTAAAGAACCAGATACACATTAAAGAACCAGATACACATTAAAGAACCAGATACACATTAAGGAACCAGATACACATTCAAGAACCAGATACACATTCAAGAACCAGATACACATTAAGGAACCAGATACACATTAAAGAACCAGATACACATTAAAGAACCAGATACACATTAAAGAACCAGATACACATTAAAGAACCAGATACACATTAAGAACCAGATACACATTAAAGAACCAGACACACATTACACATTAAGGAACCAGATACACATTAAAGAACCAGATACACATTAAAGAACCAGATACACATTAAAGAACCAGATACACATTAAAGAACCAGATACACATTAAGGAACCAGATACACATTAAGGAACCAGATACACATTCAAGAACCAGATACACATTCAAGAACCAGATACACATTCAAGAACCAGATACACATTCAAGAACCAGATACACATTCAAGAACCAGATACACATTAAAGAACCAGATACACATTCAAGAACCAGATACACATTCAAGAACCAGATACACATTCAAGAACCAGATACACATTCAGGAACCAGATACACATTAAAGAACCAGATACACATTAAAGAACCAGATACACATTAAAGAACCAGATACACATTAAAGAACCAGATACACATTAAGGAACCAGATACACATTAAAGAACCAGATACACATTAAGGAACCAGATACACATTAAGGAACCAGATACACATTCAAGAACCAGATACACATTAAGGAACCAGATACACATTAAAGAACCAGATACACATTAAAGAACCAGATACACATTAAAGAACCAGATACACATTAAAGAACCAGATACACATTAAAGACATTAAAGAACCAGATTAAAGAACCAGATACACATTAAAGAACCAGATACACATTAAAGAACCAGACACACATTAAAGAACCAGACACACATTAAGGAACCAGATACACATTAAAGAACCAGATACACATTAAAGAACCAGATACACATTAAAGAACCAGATACACATTAAGGAACCAGATACACATTAAGGAACCAGATACACATTAAAGAACCAGATACACATTAAAGAACCAGATACACATTAAAGAATTCTAGCGTGAAAACTTTCGGTAGTTTGTGCTGGTTCAACATAACTTCACCTAACTCCCTATTATTTTGTCGGCAGGATAAATCAATAATTACTACCTCTCATTCCTCCATTTTATCTTGACTAAACATCCATAAAATAGCAGAGGACTAAAAACACAAATTAATAGGAAAGTTTGTGTTTAGGACCGAAATAAACGTCGTGGAAAATCTGCTAAATTTCTTCTCTTGGGGAGGATCTTGTATATAAAGTATTTTAAAACAGGATAACATGAACAAACCGAACCTAACTTAATTATCTCAATGTTTTAGTTAAATCTCATTCCCGAAGGTCAAACTGGGTTATTATTGGTTCATTTTACACAGATTGAAAATATAAAAGGTATCGTGGCCACCAATATGGGACAATTCATATATAGTGAATCACGTGCGGGTGGAGGAATGACTCGCCTTTTGTCAGATACTGTACCGGCATTAGAGGATCGTGGGTGTTCATATTATATTCATGTATGTAAATCAGAGGCCACAATCTTAAACTCTTCCAATAGACAGCTGTTAAGAGGAAAACTATCTTCACTAGTGGGAGAAGGCAAGTCCGCAGCAGCCTTCCTTCCCTAAGCGTTCACTCTTCTTGAAAGTCCGCCTGGACACTAAGCATTAGACATTATAGTACTGAATTGAACCTTGTTACTGATGAGCCGAGGTGAGAAAGTGAATAATCTTGCACTCAAGACTTAAATAACCAAGTAGTAAAATTTAAAAAATGCAGCAAATTTCTCAAATCAGTCTTATATAGTATAGGGTGGATTAACGCTTACCTATATATTACGTCTGACAAGCCTATAGCCGCCCGACGGAAATGGACAGGGCATTGGAAAACAAGTAAAACTGGTTGAAATATGCAATTACAATATTAATCCATAAAACTACACATTTAATTATGAATCGAGTAAAACATAAGTTTGAAGCCAACTTGTGACACAACCATACACAGCTGGGTACAAGAGACTAAAATAGTAATTTGACAGCACAGTAATGTAGCTACCCAAACCTAACCAACATAACTAAACCTGACGTAACTAACAAATAACCTAACATCGTTATATTAGGTATGGATGGTTTCTTTCGTGTGGCCAGAAAGGATTTAACACCATCGTCTCCAACTTGGCTGTACCATACAAGTTAAAGATTTCCAAGGTTCAAACTCATTTATCCAGAACCAACACATTGAATTCACAGTATTTGCATTAAGTCGGATTTTCAGTAAAGACAGTCAGATACAGCGACAATGTGACGCCCACACTCTACTTTTAACACTTATGGCAATCGGTGTCCTACAACGGAACAGCCATTTGCTGCCATATTCAGTAATTTGCCAGTTCAGTTACACCACTCCCAACAATTAACCCGTACCGTCGTCCTGCTGCATATAGCAAATGTCGAATTTAGTCAATAATACCACCCAACAATCACTTTTCAAACGGTCATTACTTAACACGCATCTAAATTTCCAAACGCAATAACTAACACTAAACATTCGTGGGAGCAGCGTTGATATATATAGTACAGTAGTCGTCAAATAATGTCCTGCTCATTGGCGTTTGCAACAAGAGCCAAGCCTAGACCTGTCAATACCTTCGCTTGTGACTCCCGTTTTGTTTATTAGACAACAGCCGGCAGACACTTCCCCCACCAGTGACGAGGAGACGACAGCCAGTGTCGTCGGGGACCACGGTACTCGTCCGTCACCATGCACGTGCTTGCTTGCTTGCTTACTTACCTTCATTCGCCACACTGCCGGTTTTGCTGTCAGGACCGTTTTCCTTATTTGCTTGTATCTTCTCTATTAACAATTCCAGCTTGGAACTGTTGCCTTTAAAGAGCATGGTACAAATACTTTCCGTTCTTTCGTATCATAGTCTTCACCATTGGTTTCAACGGTTCTTTAACACATCACGGAACACTACCAAGTACGCGGTAACCTGAAGGAGCATTGACACCCACCCGTAAAGCGCTGGGTCTTCCCGTCAACTGAAACTGTGCTGGCTCTTGCACCCATCCTTGGGGAGCTCAGCAGGGGGGGGTGGGACCTAAGGGGAGGAGCTTAGCACCCAACCCGTGCGTTCATTGGTCCCTCCGCGCCCAAAACTCATCTTCATTGGCTAGCAAATAAATAAGCCAGCCTGTGCTAATTGTCTCTTTCTCGTGACAGTAGATACACATTATAAGGTGCAAATTGTCACACTATTGAGTAATTACACCTCCCGCGTGGCTAATAATACCACATTCTGGTGACATTACCTGGCGATAATGATTATACAATAAGACTGGGACATATACCACACAGAGAAGGTAAACAACTCGACATAACTATAATAAAACTTCAAGTATCACATTACCTCACGAACCATCAACCGCGGGGTGACTTTCCTGCCTGGGGTAACACGGCTCACACCTGCTGCGTGTGGTGAGGCCCACGCCGCCATGGTGAAAATGTAGTCGTGGTGATAATAATGATTTGGTGACCCTTAGCTAACATGGTGGTGTGAGTGTGGTGATGGTGGGCCAACATGGTGATCGTGGTTGTCATAGTGGCGATGATGTAGTGAGTGTGGATCGCTCTAGTGGTGATAGGTCTCTTATGATGGTGATTGCGGCTTGTCATGGTGATTATGGTGTATTAGACGACCATGATAGTGACAAGTGCGTGGTGATGGTGATAATAATGAGACAGGATGGCGATAATAGTATTACCGACAGGATGATGATAATAGTACGACCTAAAAGATGGTGATAATAGTGAGACCGACAGGATAGTGACCGAAGGGATGGTGACGGCAGCAGTTTGGTCAGGAAGAAGCATCTGAATTAACAGCAGTTAATTGGGGAATGGGGAGTTGACTGACTAACTGGTTAACTGACTGACTGACTGATAAGCTGAATGACTGACTGATTAACTGACTGACTGGTTAACTGACTAACTGACTGACTGTCCTGTCGCCTCTCCAAGCTGCTCGATGAACCCCAAGATTGATTCAGACTCGTGAATCCGAAGCATCCACAAGACAGAATAATACATCACTGTCTACGGTTCCGGGTTCACGAATCTGGATCTTAGGGTTCGGGTGTAACAAGAGAGGTGACATGATCTTCTTGCACTTGAAAAACAAAAACAAAAAACTCCCTCACGCTAAAATACACCCATCAGTTTATAGGCAGACACAAGCCAACTAAACCCAACCAAAACTCTGGGGGTTTATTGTCGCATGTAGTGTACTGTATGTGCCCCTCCTCCCCCCCACGCCCTCATCACCCTCACCCAATCCCCCTCATTCATCCATCACCCCCACCCATCCCCCTCATTCACCCATCACCCCCACCCATCCCTCAAAACACCCTCCACTCCGTTCATGAAGACATTGTATGGCCGTTTGGACGAATTCATGGTAGTTTATGGTTCTCTCAAGGGAGATATGATGCTACGCGTTACCATGGAGCCTCGAGTCGATCATGGTGTTGTATGGTAGCTATGGTGGTTTTCAAAATAGTCAAGATGCTCTAAGGAAAAGCTATGGTGACGAGGGTATGGTGTGTATATGGGAGTCACGGTGTTTATAGGAGAAGGGCTGGATGCTGTTTGCTTCAGTCACTCGTATTGTACCCTACAACCTCACTTCAGAGCCCCTCCTCCTCTTCCTCCTCCTACCTCTAACCCCTCCCCTCTCCCCTCCTTAACCCCACCCCTTATCCACACCCAGGCAGGTTCCAAGCACTATAACAATGCAGAATTTATGCGCAAATGACAATATTTGTATTCAATCTGGGAGAGACGCGAGGGTGTACTTTCTTAAACCAGCGGCAGCGAGCCAGAACGTGACGACCAGGGATCACCGTCATTACCTTTTGTGAATAACCCGCCGATCCACTCCACCTGTTATTAACTCGCCTCCTAACACCCTACTCACCTCCTCTACAGCTGACTTGATTTTCATCGTTCAAGATTTACCGCGGTGGGTGAACAATGCGAGGTCCTTGTTGTCCTGCATGACTGGTGTGTGAGTGGTGGCTGACTGTATAACTGGTGTGTGTGAAGGTGTGAGCGGTGGCTGACTGTATAACTGGTGTGTGTGAAGGTGTGAGTGGTGGCTGACTGTATAACTGGTGTGTGAAGGTGTGAGCGGTGGCTGACTGTATAACTGGTGTGTGTGAAGATGTGACTGTTGGTTGACTGTATAACTGGTGTGTGTGAGTGGTGGTTGACAGTATAACTGGTGTGTGTGAGTGGTGGTTGACTGTATAACTGGTGTGTGTGAGTGGTGGCTGACTGTATAACTGGTGTGTGAAGGTGAGCGTGGCTGACTGTATAACTGGTGTGTGTGAGGGTGTGAGTGGTGGCTGACTGTGGTTAACTGGTGTGTGTGAGGGTGTGAGTGGTGGCTGACTGTATAACTGTGGTGTGTGTGAAGGTGTGAGCGGTGGCTGACTGTATAACTGGTGTGTGAAGGTGTGAGCGGTGGCTGACTGTATAACTGGTGTGTGTGTGAGGGTGTGGAGTGGTGGCTGACTGTATAACTGGTGTGTGAAGGTGAGCGGTGGCTGACTGTATAATCAGGAGTGAGGGTGTGACTGTTGGCTGACTGTATAACTGGTGTGTGAGGGTGTGTCTGTTGGCTGACTGTGTATAACTGGTCTGTGTGAGTGTGACTGACTGTATAACTGGTGTGTGTGAAGGTGTGAGTCTTAGCTGACTGTATAACTGGTGCAGGAGGTGACTGCTGGGGCTGACTGTAAACTGGTGTGTGAGGGTGTGACTGTTGGCTGACTGTATAACTGGTGTGTGAGGGTGTGACTGACTGTATAACTGGTGTGTGTGAAGGCGTGTCTTAGCTGACTGTATAACTGGTGTGTGTGAGTGGTGGCTGACTGTATAACTGGTGTGTGTGTGTGAAGGTGTGACTGTTGGCTGACTGTATAACTGGTGTGTGTGTGAGTGGTGACTGACTGTATAATCCGGTGTGAGTCTTAGCTGACTGTATAACTGGTGTGTGTGAGGTGTGACTGCTAGCTGACCAGTAACTGGTGGCGAGGGTGTGACTGTTGGCTGACTGTATAACTGGTGTGTGTGAGGGTGTGGAGCAGTGGGCTGACTGTATAACTGGTGTGTGGAGGGTGTGGACTGTTGGCTGACTGTATAACTGTGTGTGTGAGTGGTGTGTGACTGTATAACTAGTGTGTGTGAGTGGTGGCTGACTGTATAACTGGTGTGTGTGAGGGTGTGAGTGGTGGCTGACTGTATAACTGGTGTGTGTGAAGGTGTGACTGTTGGCTGACTGTATAACTGGTGTGTGTGTGTGAAGGTGTGACTTTTGGCTGACTGTATAACTGGTGTGTATGAGAGTGTGACTGTTGGCTGACTGTATAACTGGTGGGTGTGAAGGTGTGAGTCTGGGCTGACTGTATAATAACGTGTATGTGTGTGTGTGTTTCAATTACACACACACACACACACACACACACACCAATGCGTTACATATCTATTCAACAAACCCGTAATTTCACAACCAGGTAAATCACATCTTAGTTCCCGTGACGTTTAAACAGGTGTTAATAAATAGTTCACTTTGTTTACGGCCAAAAGAATCCCTACTACCGTTTGTCAGTCACATGCTCTCTGGATATCGATACCACCACCACCCACCACCGCCACAACCACCACCCACGGCTACATCCACTATCGTTTTTATTCATCAGTCAGAAAAAACTCCCACACAAAGAAGACAGATACCAAAAATACTATTCCCTCATAATAACACTTGATAGAGACTAACAATAACCCGAACCTAACCAAAAATGGATCAATCTTCCGTCGTTCTGATCTATAAAAAAAAACAACAAAAAACTCTAGACTCGTATATGAGGAAGACACACGGTGAAGCTATATAATCAGTAATGTTATGATCACCTGTTAACTTCACCAACGGGCAGTACTGGGAGATATCTAGTTATTTGGGGCTCTTTTCGTCTCGTATGTGGTCCTCTGATGGCGATGGTAACTTTTTTTTTCTGAATCGATATAAGAGACGAAATTTCTTCCTTCCCTCAATGTGGTGGTGTTTGTTGTTGGGACACACACACACAGACACACACACACAGACACACATAGGGGGGCTTCAGTAGAACTCCTTATATCCTAAAATAACTGTAAAATCTATATAAATGTTAGAAAAATAAAATAAAATAATACAAATATATATCAAGTCCTAGAACAGTTGATAATAAAGATGGCTCCAGCAACTCACGCCTGAAGGCACTGTGGCACTCTCCTTCACCATGTACCCGTAAGCTCTCAACTCTCAAAACACAACCTGTACTACCATTCATGACCACCACTTCTCACCATACCTCACACTCTTCACCACCACCATTCACTATCACCACCATAAACCACCACCATTCACTATCACCACCATACACCTTTGTACATCAACACTACTCACCATATGCATCACTATCAAATACCAATCCACCACAACCACCAACACAACACACCTGCAACCACACCTTTTCAACCACCATCGTCACTATAACTAACGAGAGAAACAACAGGAAAAACAAATAAGATACATCATAGAAAAGGATCAGCACCTGTACAAAATTTAAATTTAGAGATGATAAACCACACGATTCCTCAAAGTTTCTTATAATAATTTTTTTTTCTCCTAAACTGATTCAAAAACGTTTTCTCGTTATAGTTAAGTTTCTGATGCAATTTCGACATTATTTTGGTTGTCATCTTTGTGCTTGAGCGAGTTGGTCTTTTTTTGTGTAGGTGATAAAAACCGTGAGGAGAGGTTAGACAGGTGTCGCTGTCATATCTATTCAGTGAGGCGTCGCTCCACGAGACTGTAAATATCTGCTGCAGGTTTGTTTTAAATTAATGGAGGTTATGTGATACTACAAAAAAAACTCTCTGGCAAGGAGTTTCAGTGAGTGTTAATCAAGGTTAAGTTA